ATGAGCAGTGGCTTGAAAATATGTTTTTCAACTTCAAATTGTTGACTTAGGAAAAGCTTAGGGCATAATTTACTAGTATAGTTTCCTTTACACCATTCTAGGAAACCATAAAGCTGATGGAATATGCAGTTAATTTCTCTCCCCATCTATCCTTCATAGACCACTACACAAACATATCACCATCTTATAGACATACAGAGTAAGACACCTCCTTCTACTGTCCACGTTTTTCAACGCTCCTTCTAGATCACCCTATGTTTTTTAATCTTTTATCTTTATTTACTGTTGAGAAGAAATATTTAAAATGAGAAGTATCTTTTGGCTGCTACACATCAAAAGTTTGAAGGTTTCTTCTTGAACAGGGCATCTTTAAATTCTTTTTAGAAAAATTCTCCCAAATTTCTCTTTCAAAATAGCCATAATTTCCAGCTGTCCTTACTGGGACTGCTGGTATTCCAAAGCTGGGCACAGTCTTGCTGGTTCCCAAATCAAAGTCAAGTTTCCTTCAGGAAAAAAAAAATGGTGATGCCCTATGTCCTTACAAGGACTACCTATCATCTATAGTGAGCATGCCAAATTAAAATCAATTTCAAGGCTGTGACTGGAACCAGGACTTTCATATATATGCAGTCAGTGCTTACTTCTGAAGCAACACATACATAGGTATTACTGTCACCTCTCAAGTAGACAGAGAATTAGTTCTTATTTGCAGAATATATGCACACAAATACCTCTGTGTGTAAACTACCCATCTGAAGGCCATGATGGCCATGTCCCAGATGATCAGCGTAATTTTTCTTTCTTTTCTCTTCTTTTTTTTTTCTTTAGTACAAGATAAGAACTGCAATAAAACTCAAGAATAAGGCAATACTGACCTCTATCAATGACACGTTTTAGACCACTTTGGTTTTAGCTGGTTCAGGCAGAATTGATAGCAGAGATTAGAACCAAAAGGTAAAACACAGCAAGAGAATTAGAATAAAAAGCAACAGCTTCTGTCGAGTTTAAATCAGGGAGAATAGCAGCAAACCTCCTTTGGACTGTGGTCATGACCACTGTGACATGTGTTGAACGCAGAGGCTGTTAGAGCTTGTACTTGACATAACTAGTTCCTGTTTGACCTAAGAAAAAAAGCACAATTGCAGCAGACCCAAACAGCAGCAGCAGCAGCAGCCGGGCAGCCAGCGGTGACATTCCACCCCATAGGAAACAGAAGCCTTATAGAACACTCACTTTCCCAGGAAGTCCCACACAAACCCCCCTACGTGTTGCGGTGCAGGGACCGACACCTGGTAGGGAGGGTGCAATTTGCGGGAGGCGTGCTTTCTGAGAAAAGGCATAGTCAAAAAAACCCCCACACATACAAAACAAAACAACTCGTGGAACCAGGACGTGACAGTATAAATGGAAAGAAAAAGTGAGGAAGGAAACAAAACAGAAAATGAAAAGTTACAGAGAGACAGGAGATTGTGGAATGGCAATACAAAAAAACAAACAGTTAGTTATAAAGAAAGTGAACAACCAGACAGCTGCAAAACCCTCTACGCCACCACAGTCCGGGGACAGAAACAAAACTCACACGGCTGTTCACCCACAGAAGAAACGCGGACTTATGGCCCACCTTCCCGTAAGAAAAAGCAAACTCTTGCCCACAGAGAATATAAATTTATGAGCTTGTGCTTTCAATCTCATGTTGACTCTAGAGTAGTTTTCAAACTTTTGCATAGCATGCACCATATTTAACACATTATTTTCTGGATATCTTTTCTCCCATTCACAGCTGAAAAACAATGTCCCCCACCCAGTAATTGCAACAGTTACTGAAGAGTGGAAGTGTTTCCCTCTTTATCTTAATTTTAACTGAAAGTGGCTTTGCCATCATTGAAAAGGCTTAAGAGAACAGTTTTCTGCTTCTCATTTCATCTTCCTCTCCCTTCTCTGTTCCCCTATACATACCTCCCTAATAGGCGACTCACCTCTTCTATGGATGAAACCGTGTTACTATTTCTCTTCTCCTGACGACATACGGTCTAGTTGTCACATATAACTAGCATAAGACTATCTCTTTTGAAAAATCCCTTTTTTTGTTAGTACAGTTATTCTCTGAATTTGACTTATTTCTTCTTATCTTGCTCTAGATGGGAGTAACAGTGGTTCCTGACAGGCACAGCAATATTCACTTTTTTTTGCTTGCTGACAAATGCTTCTGGTTCTTTACACAACAGAGTTTGAACAGCTGTAGAAGCATTAGAAGTCAAGATAATTGCTAGCTTGCTCTGCACGGACCACAGTTTAGGAGGGACTTTTACAAGGCAAAATTATCTGTTCACGTAACATGCCTGGATATTTCAGTTCAGCCATTAAGGAATACTTTATAAACGAGCATAGTAGATAAAACCAGGACCAACTTATACATTTAATAGGCATGTTAAAAACTCTGCTTTGTGTAAAAACTCACAGGGAGAAAGCAAGCTTCCAGAGAATAGGGGTTCCAAGGAGCAGCTGAAAACGACTAAGGCCAAATAAAAATTTCAATAATTATTCAGAAAAAGAGAAATTACTAGTCAAAACCTCACACCAAAGTATCTGAAACTTTGTTTCTCCAGTGCTGTGATTATATTACAGTGCCACCTGAAAAATCATTTCAGGTGTTGATACTTCACTAATTCATCACACTAACAGTATGTACCTTAGGTCTCTAGATCTTCAGGACCTTTTCCATTAACACTTACAGTGGTTAGAGAACACGAATATTGTTTTTTTGGGGGGGGTTTGCCCCTTGATTTACACGGCTGCTGGAAATCACATGATAACAGAAGTAGTCTTTTCTTTGACACAGCTGAAATACCTATTCTAATTATTAGAAATAAAAGAAGACATATTCTATTGTATCTCAGTATTAGTAGAAAAGACAAGTTAAAAACAGAAGAGGACCACTATTTTTTTATAAGAGCAAAGATCAGGTGGTAGGAAGAAATGCATAGCACTGAATAGTCAAAGTATTCACCAAACCATCACAGAATGATGTGCAGTCATTTGGGGGTTTTATGCTTTTATTGATATAGAAAGAGTTTGGTCTGTGACTGAAACAGCAAAAAACTACCACTGTAACATGAAAAACAAGAACTGCTTTGCAGATCTCTGGAACTGCATCAAAGAAAAACTTCCTTTCTAAGTCTTTGAAGACTGTGTGCCAATGCTTTTAAGAGCATGTAAAAGAGAAGGAGGCCCATCTATTTCTCTGGGTTTTTGGTGGGGGTTTTTTTGCTTTGTAGACTATAAATTCTTTTGATTATAGGCCACTTACATGTGTTTATTTAGTGTTTGACACTGCAAGTCCCAATCTCTATTAGTTTCTGAATTGTAATGTAATAAAAAAATCAGAGTTACATTAAAAGTTTGCATAAGAAAATTCTCTTCCTGCCATTCCAATCTCCTCTAGGAATCAGATTGAGGAATGATGAATATTTCTGACTTGCCTTTCCTAAACAGTAATTACTTCTGCACACAGAAATAATTAAGGCACTGTGAACATATTTCTTCTCCATACCTTATAGAATCACAGAATCATAGTACAGTCTGGGTTGCAAGCAACCTTAAAGATCATCCAGTTCCAATCTCCCTGCCACGGACAGGGACACCCTCCACTAGACCAGGTTGCCCAAAGCCCCATCCAACCTGGCCTTACTTCTAATAGAAGTTTGTTGCTTATACCCTGATCCCTAGTAAGGGATGCCCTAAGATGATGACATGGTGAACTTCACACCCAAGATGGGCCCCTCTAAGGGACTGAAAAAAAAAAAAAAAATCACACAAATATGACAAATAGCCAAACTGCTATTTGGCTTTTTCATGTCTATACTTGATGCACCTACTCTTTCAACCTATTGCCTGAATGTTCTGCTGAAGACATCATGTATCAATGGGCTGAACATTGTATCACTTAGAAAAAAAGGGAAGACAGTTAAAAAGGACATATCCTCACTTTTGGATGTTCAAGCTTACACCATAGGTACAGAGAATTTTGGTTAAATAAAATAACAACTTAAAGAAAACTAACAGGATGCTGCTTACAATCACAAAGAGAGAAGAAACCCAGCTGACAAGCTGAACTCTTTCAGAGCTCTGTCACCTCCAAGGAAACAAGAATAGAATTCTTAGGAAAGAGTTTTTCTTATCATTCAGAGGGGCCCATAATTTGACTATCATCAAGCCAATGAACAATAACCATTGCCATCGTGCAGAACCTGAAACGTCCTCTACTCAGTTCCCCTAATCTTCCTGACACTAAATGCAGAGCAGTTAAATAGTGATAGGACAGAAATTAGAAAGACTATGGCACAAGGTAAACGGAAATAATCAAATTTCCATTTTGCTGTTCCAAGTTAATGATTCTTCATTGCGAATCGTAAACATAACACCCCAACCAGGTATTACTGCCTAGAAACTCCCGCTTGGCCCCAACAGCCAGATGGAAAATGCTGAAAAGTCCTGAATCTCATTTTGTTTGGACAAAAGCATATCTGTTCATTTGGCTTTACATGAGCCAAAGTTTACTTGCATCCCTACCAGTACAAAGAGTTTCAATGCCGCTTGTCAGAAGAACCTGAGTAACTAGTATCACAAGTGCTTAAAAATAATTTTTCTCATTCCTTTTCTGGAGAACAATGTCTGAGGAATTTATTAAATCAAAAGAACAAATTGTTCTCCAAACACACCACAGTGTTGGCAACTTTTCCTACCATGTCCATTCCTTTACAGTTCTATCTACCCTTCTATCTATAATCAGCCCTAATTTTTGAGCAGCCGGGTAATAAAAGCACGCAGTAAGACACCTTTTTGCTTACAATCTACCAAAATAAAGGACTGAAGACAGAAAAACTCTAAACAGACTTTCCCAAAATAGGCACTCTAAGGTTTAAGGTTAAGAAAAATGGACTAAGTTAACTCCAACTTTAATCAGCTCTTTTGCTGCTCTAGTAATTTTATACCACTCTCACCTCTCCAGTTCTGCTATCTTCTTATCCTTATCGTTCTTCTCATTTTCCATCTCTTTCAAGATTTCAAGAAGACGATCCACTTCAGCTTGAGCCTTGCTAGATTCTTCCCGATACCGTGTTACCTCCCTTTCCAGCTGCTGCATACGATCACTCAGCTCTGGGCTGGCCCTAGCCTCCAGTGTTGCCTCATGAGCCTGTAAACAAGAAGGTTCAAGAAAAAACAATTAATTCACACATATATATTTTACAGATACTATGATGACTGCAAAACGCTATCTAGATATCTATTTCAAAATGGCAAGATTAATTATTACACAAATAAATATAAGCTACTTTTAAGTATGGGGAAATACTTTCTAGACAAAGAAGAATTCAGGAACAAATTTGATTTTTTTAATTCAGTCTAAAAAAGATTTAAGTGATTTTTTGATCTGAACAGAACTGACAGAAGAAAGAAGTAAAAATATGAAAAAAGTTAAACTTATTTGAAAGGAAAGAAAAGTGTGAGTGGATATAAAAATTAACGAAATACACTTCTAAAGCAGCGATATGACTGTAGAATTAGTTATCTGAGGTATTTTTAACCTAGAAAATCTAGAAAAACAAATCACAGGTTAAGAGCCTTCAATGACTACATCAGTATGCAAAATGTCAGACAGATTTACACAGATGGTGCTGATCTACTGACGTTCTTGCTAGTTATCTGAGCCGTACAGACTAGGACTAATATGAGTATGGCTGCCTACTGAAAATATCTTCACCCAGTTATCTAGGAAATATGTTTTTTAAAATCAGGCTATGAGGACAAAAAGCATCAGAGGACTGAGGATCAAATGACAACAATTAAGAGCTTTTTCATTTTTTTAAAATGGCTTGGTTTGTTATTTTATTAGTAAAATTAATTCAACAGTTTCCAAACATATTAGAGACAAAGACAAGGCAATATTTATGATGGAGGTTAAACTAGCAGACTAAGGACTATCTTTTCATTCGCCCCTTGCCCCTCTGCTCTTGGATCTTGAACTGCTATTTGATATCAATTAAAGCTATTTCAGAATTGCTCAAATTTGCTTCAGTGACTAGCAGGTTTGGTGGAGCTATTCTGCTGACCAAGACTGCCTGCAAACTCAAGGCCTTTCTCTTCTCTGAAATGAACCTACAACAGAAAATAAGACTACAGACTTTTTCCCCCTCTGCGTACAGCTGCGGAAAGTTGTTTTACAAGCTGCCAGTGTTCTGCTCCAAAGCACACTAAGTCTAAATCCAATAATATAGGACTCTGTTGCTTTTTAAAGGCAAGTGGATAGAACTGCAGCAGCATAAACCTCAGGGTTAGAAGCTGCTGCTTCCAAAGAACCAAACAGCAAAAATACACTTGGCTAAATGTTTAGTTATTCAGTAAAATAAGACTGAAGGAAAGTATCTGTTCATTGACCCCAACATTTTTGCCTTGAAGTCTCTTATTTTTAATTAACTCCGTTAAAGCCAAGGCCTCATTCTAGTGAAATCCAGGAGAATCTCAGAGCAGAATATTCTAGGACTGCAGAAGGCCTTGATGCCTGTCTTTATTGGGACTACGACCTTGGGATGGATCTCGGTTGTCCAAATACTGGAACACTTCATATTCCAGGGCCTTGGACCTGCAGCAGCCTGCTCAAGGGTTGAAGCTAAACTGTTTTGGTTTTCTTTCTTTTTTCCTTTCTTTCTTTTTTTTTATTTAAGCAGGAATTCCAGAAAGCTGGAATTCCAGAAAGCTGGAAAACATGTACAGTACTTTATCCTAGTACAAAATGCCTGGCAATCCCCACGTCTGCCAGGCAGGTCTCAGCAGGAGCACGCGACAACAATAGATCCTGGGAGAAGAGAACCCTTTCCTGAGGCAATGTATTTAGGAATCTTAAAAGGCTCCCCCTTCTGAGAGACTTTCGAGTCAGACCCTGCTGCTCCTCTGTCACTGAGCCGTAAATCCGAAAATCCTGCTTCTGAGCTTCTGACTGAGACCCAGCTCCAAGTGCATCCCTGGTGAGCCTGGAAGCTTTGAGAAGCCTTTTGGAGTTACAGCTGTCTACGCTTCCAGATTCCTCACTGCCCCATAAGCACTTTGAAATATAAACCTTTGGAAAGGACCCTCTAAGGCAAGTGGAAGTCTAAATAACGTGTTGCCAAGACGACGCAGACTCCAGGAGGACGTTGCAGCAATGAGACCGATAAGCGTGTTGGTTCCATGAACAGCCGCAGGCATCAGGGAACATACTCTGCTTTGGAAGGAGAGCGTTCCTGATATGCTTTATTGGGATTATCAGCCTGCGGGAAATCTGAAATATTTCATTAGATTTCCTTTTCAACTATGCTTAAATTTCAAACAAAACCTCTATTCTCCCTTCCCAAATATTGTTTCACACGAACTGGGAATACTGTTTTTGGGGGACATCTACAAATCTACTGGGGGGCATCTATATTCTCCTAAGAGACACTATGTATAGAGTTAAGTCTGGTTTTCACCAGAGGCAGAGCCTGAATTCGTCTGTACTGGATTTAGGTATGTTTCCAACATCCCAATTGTTTGTTTGAACAAATACTCCTCCAGGCTCTTTAAAGTCATCCAAAATACATAACCAGATAATCAAGAAACTTCTTTAAAAAAAAGCAAAGCTAGGCTGTTAGCCTGGATTACTAAACTCTCTAATTCAGAGTCAGTCATAAGACCTAATGCAATTCTACTGTCAGGACAGTCCTGATTTATATTACTCTGTGCTAATAAAAGCATCTCCACAACAACCCAAGAGACACTACTGAGAAGAGGAAATCAATTTTCTTTTTCAGAAAATTAGCCAACAAGTCAGTGTGTCTGGTTTTTATAGTACGAAAGGGCTATTTACACGACATAAATTATTAGTTAAGACACATAACACATGTTATTTGTATGTAACGCACCTAAGTATGGATAATTTCACCTAACACAAAGAGAACGTTATGTGATATGGTGTAAACTGGAGACCACTTCCTGAGTCGTGAATTACTGACTGAGTGACTTTGGTCCATTTTGTGGGTTATGTACAAAATACGTGTTACATGACCATATCTAAAATCCTACTGGATTCATTTATTGTATAGGAGAGAAAACCAATGCATTTAGAGGTTTCCCACAAACTTACATCAAGATCTGGAACAGATGAAATTGGCTACCTTCCCAACGCAACTTTGCGCAAAATCATTCAGCAGTATTTTTTTTTTAACCAAAAAGAAAGTGAAACACAAATAATGAATTCCTATATTCACAGTAAAAAAAAAAACAAAAAAACAAACCCCAAAAAACCCCAAACCAAAAACCACATACAACTTCTTCCCCCACCCACCAAAGGTGTACAAAAATTCCAAAATAAGACAGTAATTTCATTTTCAAAACAAAATGGACATATAAAGTGACAGTTTCTGCTGTAATAACAGACTATAAGAAGTGCATTTTGATAGGTTCAACTTTCAGCTCTGCCTGAAACAGTTTTCCTAAATCTGCAACCTCTTAATATAGTTACAAACAAATATGAACATGTATAAAAGTATGATGAAAAATTAAATAAATTGAAAAGCAGCTTGCTTAGGGCAAAGGGAACATTGCACTTTTTCCTCTGACAAATGAGAAATAAGAAAAGGTATGTCTACACAGGCCATTGAGTTTACCTGATTACAGGCTATTTTAAACCTCTTAACTGTTACTACTGGCCCTGTCATTAGCTCTTCATGTCTGCTCCAGTGTGGAGTCAAACAGGTGAAATTAAGCTACTTTCAAGAGCACAATCAAACTTGTATGTTTGATTCTGCATTGATCTGCATAAGAAACACAGTCACATTTTAGCAAGAAAGGAGCACCTTAGTAAGCTAGGTTTTTATTAGCAAAGCTCATCTGATCAGTATTAATCTTTGCCAATTAATTTCAAATTCTAAGTGGTTCAGGACCAAGAATAGTTTAAGCTTACTACTCCGGATACGTGTTTGAAGTTCTTAAGAGGGACTATAAACTAAGAAGTGGTTTAACAGCTTTCTGCTTTTCTGCTCTTAGCCATCATTTCCCATCTTGAATGCGGTAAGTGATGGGGTGAGTACTTTAGGTACCTAAAGAATAGAAGAGAGTGATTGTTCCTCAAATAAATGTACTATAACTTCTATTGCTTCCACAGAAAATCAGCTGACAAAGCCAACTTTTGCAACTAAACCAAAGATGACTGATGTTTCACAGAAATAACCACTATTTACAGATGGAGAGGAGGGGAAGACAAAACAGATTAAAAAGAATTTTCTAAGTTAGTATTTCTCATGCCAAAAACCTCTTTACTAAGAGGAAAGGTGATCTTACACAGCTTAAAGTGTGCCAGAGGCAGGGAAGAAAACAATAGCACAGATCTAATTTTAAAAGTTCTAAAATGTAAATAAAAATTCCAAACATTATGACTAAGATTCCAAATCAATATTCCTAAAAGATTAACTAAATCAAACAGCAAATAATTCACAGCAAACACTTTCTACTTTTACCTACAAATTGAGACAGTAAATTCAAGTTTAACATTTCACATATAAATGTTGCCAAGAACTTTTGGCCACAAAGTAGAAGTTCCCAAGAATTTGAAATCTCTTTTTAATCCACCCTTCTGCCTCCAAGAGTGCCTCACATCTTCTAACAATAGTAAATGCACACACAAATACAAAAATATATTATGACTATTTACTGCAAAAGACATTTTCTTTCTATCACACTAATCATGAATGTAGGCTGTTTCTTGGCAGATGGTAAGTAACCACTTCCTACCACCGTCAGTGGGAAGTGAGGATGTGTTATTATACCTGTTGTGCAGGTGTAAAAGTGAGATGCAAAAATATCCTGCCTTATTCCCTTAATGCTTCTCTACTATTAAAAAAAAGTTTTATCATCTAATTTCTCTAGATTATCATCTTGCTTATATATCTCTGGCTCATTCTGGGAGCATTTGTCACACAATATTGAAGACTGTGAGAGTTTGGCAGACAATAAATTAGTTATAAAATGTTATAACAACGACCTCACAATGACACAATGTTGCACTGGCCATTTCCTAGCTTTTGGATATTTAATTTTTCAAAATGAATGTTATCTTAGCAAGTTTTCTGGGAGGAGTAGAGTAGGTAAGTTAAATTATTTTAGGTATAAGAAAATTGGGGGAAA